TGAGAGGGTGGGGATTATGTTAAGGATCTGTGGCCCTCTCCTCTAGAATTACAGCTCCCAGAATTTCATGGGAAGAAAAGAATATTGTTAATCCACTTAAACACAATTAACTAGGAATAGCCTTAGAGACCTCAAGGGGATTTAATTCCAGTAGACATGCATAAGCATTTTGCCGTAAATCTGTGGTGCAGATGGGCACAACAGTTTGCACATTGAGCAGCAAGAGCCAAGTGTTCAAATGACAAGCAATAATGGAGGCTGCTAAGAGTCCAGGGAGTCTCCCCCTCCTGCTGCGACCAGCTCCCCCCGCCCTGGTCTCCTAGAACACGCAGAGAAATGAAGAGGGCCAAACAAAGAGAGACAAGACAACAGAGCCTGGGGGAGGAGCCTTAGAGAGCGGCGGGAAGGCGGTGGCCTTCAGTCTTCATGACTGCCTCATTGGAGCAAGACCTTCTGGGAAGACACAATAAAGAGTTAAATTGACTGGCACTGGGGCTGGATATATAAAGACTGTAAAAATGCTATTTTAAAAAGTTATATAGCTCTCAATACAATTTTACATTGCCATTTTACATTGCTCTACAGCGCCCTCTGGCATCACATGCTTATAATGCATTTACAACGTTGCAGGTGGAGCTGTAGTCTAAACCACTGAGCCTCTTGCTGATTGGAAAGTCGGCGGTTCGAATCCCCACGACGGGGTGAGCTCCCGTTGCTCTGTCCTAGCTTCTGCCAACCAAGCAGTTCGAAAGCACACCAGTGCAAGTAGATAAATAGGTACCGCTGTGGCGGGAAGGTAAACGACATTTCCGTGCGCTCTGGTTTCCATCACAGTGTCCCGTTGCGCCAGAAGCGGTTTAGTCATGCTGGCCCCATGGCCCGGAAAGCTGGCTGTGGACAAACGCTGGCTCCCTTGGCCTGAAAGTGAGGTGAGAGCCGCATCTCATGGTCACCTTTGAGTGGACTTAACCATCCAGGGGCCCTTTAACTTGTACTGACCAGTATAGATTAGTTCCGGGTGTTTTATTACTGACCTACTCCTGACTCTGGCTCCTGACAAAGGGTTAGGCTAACACTCACATGTTTTGCCATTCCCCCTATTTCCCATGCTGAAGCTGTGGGTGCCGTTGCACATGTAGCCACACTGGCGCCCACCCATGCCCAAGGTGGGGTATTTTTGTTGACGTGTACGCTTAAATGAAAGTTTTATCTGAGTTGCTAGATCTGCAGGAGCTCTTTCACATAAACAAGTAATAACTTGATATTGCAGCCTTGTGTGAACCAGGCTTAGCTCTAATTAGAAACTACGGGCTGCAGGATGGCACCTCTATAACTCTACTGAAGAGTTATTCTGATAAGGAGATTATAGAACTGGATAAAGCTTTCCGACTCCTCATCGTAGAATCTGGCTCATAAAAATAGATATTCTACTTTGTCTTATTAAGCAGTGCCTCAAGCGCTGTCTTTAAGTGCTGTCAAAGGAGATAGTAATGACTGCTACTACCTTCTCTCCCTTATTCCCTATGTAATATGCATCAAGCATCTTTACTTATTAGCTGTTCAGTCTTCAGTGTACAGTATCCTTCTAAGTCTTTAGCAATTAAAATCAAAATTATTGTGTTTATAACGTTTAGATACCTTTTTTGCAATCAGCAGGAAGTAAAGGCATAATTGCTGCAAAATTATCGTTGTATTAAGTTTCAGAACAAGAGAAGTGGAACCTATTCTTAGCTGGATTTAATATCACGCCCTCAAAAAAACTTTGCCATTAAGCTCCAGGTTAGGAGGATAGGAGTCCTTTGAAACAGCATTTTTCTCTGTCAATCATCCTCTTTTAAAGTTAAATCAGACCGTAGATTTTTAAATATTTCTTTATGCATATACAGCAGTAGATACACATAAACTGTTCTTGTTTTCTCCACCTTGCCAAGAGGATAAGATCCATACCCGCTATAGGCTGCAATGCTGTACCACTTTACCTAGGAGTAAACCTCACTGAGCTCTATCAGTTCTAGTCCAACACTCTAACAGGGTGGCTATATATGCCAATGAGCATTCATCATGATGTGTTTGTGGGGTGTTTGTATGTCTCCCCGTTAATTATTCGGCCATCCCATACCCGGCACTTTTCAGGGCATTTCCCTATCAGTTTCCTAACTGCAAAAAACTCCCTGTGGTTTTTAAAGTGAATTTATTGCACTAGGATGACAAACTGCTCCCATCTACAGTGGTACCTGGGTTACATACGCTTCAGGTTACAGACTCCACTAACCCAGAAATAGTACCTCAGGTTAAGAACTTTGCTTCAGGATGAGAACAGAAATCGTGCAGCAGCGTCAGCAGGAGGCCCCATTCGCTAAAGTGGTGCTTCAGGTTAAGAACAGTTTCAAGTTAAGAACAGACCTCCGGAAGAAATTAAGTACTTAACCCGAGGTACCACTGTACTTCAATTGCACAATGATAAATTTCCATTATGCACAAGAATGCCTCCTGCAAAACAGCAACAGCCTGGAGATTTACCTATTTTCAGGAGCACATGCTGTACATTGGTGAGTCTCAGTGAAACAAGAGAGCTCTTTTCATGTTTCAAATTGCAAGTTTCCTATTTTGAATTCCCTCCATTTCTGATGTTCAGGCTGTGAGCGCCATTATTTGTATAGCCAAAATGGCACGTTAGGAACTGAGCGTGCTCAGTAGGCGCAGAGTGCTGACTGTCGAAGGGCCATGTGGAAAACCAAGGGAAGGGGGGTGAATGGAATGCAGCGGAGTGGAGTGGCTGGAATCCTGAGCAAGACTGCTCCACACTGCAACATTTTGTTGCATCTTCCATAAGACTTTTCTAAAAATAAACCTACCCATCTACAGTGGTACCTCAGGTTACATACACTTCAGGTTACAGACTCCACTAACCCAGAAATATTACCTCGGGTTAAGAACTTTGCTTCACGATGAGAACAGAAATCGTGTGGCGGCAGCAGGAGGCCCCATTAGCTAAGGTGGTACCTCAGGTTAAGAACAGTTTCAGGTTAAGAACGGACCTCTGGAACGAATTAAGTTCTTAACCCGAGGTACCACTGTATTGTACAAATTGCCTCTGGATTATGCACCATACTTTCATAGCTCTTCCCTCCCCAGGGTATCCCAGTACCTGTAGCTTACCCCTCACAAAACTATGATTCCTAGCACCTTTAACAAACCACAGTTCCCATGATTCTCAGGGGGGGCGGTGCTGTAAATGTATAGTGCACACTCGGCCCTAACCCTTCCATTGTACTGTGCATTACTGGAAAACAGGCCGTCCCCTTTTAATATGAATTACTGAGGCATTTCCAAATACCTAAAAGTTGAGGTGCTGGCTGCCATTTATTCCTGCTTTTGTAACTACTGACGGCATGAAGCATTTGGTGAGGAGGCTGGTAAACCCAGCCACTTGGCTCCTGATCTCCCACAGAGACTACAGAGCAGCGTATTTTAAACAGGGTACAGCTCAGCTTCGTGGCTCTCCGAAGACATGGGAGAAGGCAACGGGTAGCATTCTGAAGTGGTCGGTTTTTTTATCCATACTAATGCACAAAGTCAGATAAATCATAAAATATATATGCCGTCTCCTCTGCTGCTTTACAATAGCCATTGTGTTCATATAATGTAATGCTTCTTGCCATGGAGCATAGGAGAAAGAGAAGAGAAGAAGAGTGAGGTGCAAGGTTTTCAAAAGAATAAAGGTATATTCAATAGGAACGCTTACTCTTTAAGTGTTGCTGCTGCTGCTTGTGTATCTGTATCTCCATTATCTTCCCCTGCTCCTTTATGGCTGGCTATTTAATACTGAATACTGTAGAGTTTCTTCCTCGGGTTCTGAATAACGAACATCCCTGGGAGAAAGATGGCCGGTTAAGTGCCCCACAAAGCTGAGATGCAGCTGGTGGCCACACGAGGAAGGACCTTCTAGGCAGTGACTCCTTATTTATGGGACAACTTCCCCAAAGAGGTTCACCGGGCACCCGGGCTGGGCCAAGACATTTTGGCACCTGAGGCAAGCCACAAAATGGCGTTCCCAAAGCCCGGGTCAGAAAAGAACAGGTGAGTGAAGATCTACATCAGGAATAAGGCGGGAATAAATATCTGTTTTGGGAACAAGGTTAGGAGGAGATTTGCCAAGAGGTCACTGTGGGTCCTGCTGCCTAACCTTGTCTTATGGGTGGGCCGGCCCTGCTTGGCACTGGCCAACTCTAGCCTCATGAAGGAGCCCATGGGGCAAAGCACCACATCATAGAAAAACTTGTTCCAACAAAGCCTAGAGGGGAACTGAGACCTTTTGAGTCTCTGCTTCCAGGTCACCCCTCCCAGGCTCCACCCCTTTTTTTATCGATGCAGTCCTTAAAGGGCCAATCCTAGACAGGTCTGCTGGTGGGGAGAGCTGTATGCCTTTTATGTGTGTGTGCATGTGAGAGTGTTGAGTGGCCACAGCCATTGCTGGCATGCATTCCCACCCCCAGCTGCAAAGCTTGGCCCTCAAGTCATAAAAGGTTATCCATCTCTGTCTTAGACTCTGCCTTGCAGAGCCCTGTCCATTAGAGAGAATGTGTCCATTGGGGCACATTCTAGGCCACAGAGTGATTGTGAGACCTTTGAGTCCTGTCATTCCACACAAACCAAGGCCAAAACTTGAAGCGTTTCTGTCACTCGGCATATGCAAGCCAGCATAGGGTAGCAGTTGGAGTGTTGTTCCAGGACCAGGGAGACCAGGGTTCAAATCCCCACTCAGTCACAAAGCTCAGGGGTGACTTTGGGACAGTCATGACCTCTCAAGCCTAGCCTACCTCACAGGGTTGTTTTGAGCATAAAATGGAGGAGAACCATGTATGCCATCTTCAGTTCTTTGGGGGACATATGGATATAAATGCAATGAAACTAATAAAATAAATAGGGTAGAATCATAGAGTTGGAAGGGACCCTGAGGATCATCTGGTCCAACCCTCTGCAATGCAGGGCTATGAAGCTGTCCCTTATGGGGATCAAACCTGCAACCTTGGCATTATCAGCACCACGCTCTAACCAATTGAGTCAAGGCTCAGAGGCACTCAAGTCATTAAATAATAATACTTCCTGCTCATGCAGGAAGTATTTTTTTACCAAGTCACACCACTGATCCATTTAGCTCACTGGCTGGCTGTCGCTCTGAGGGGTTTCAGAGAGGAGTCTCTGCTACATGGAGATGACAAGGATTGAACCTTTAGCATGGAAAGGGTCTGCTCTGCCAATGAGCTACAATCCCAGCTATTCATGGTAAGGGAAAGACAGACACTGGGAGGTCAGTCAGGAAACCTTGCAGTTCATATTGGGGAATCCCTCATAAGTGTCCAAGGAGCCTCAGTTTCCTGAGGGAAACCCGTTTGCAAACCACTGCCCAGCTCCTTTCAGGATTTCACAACAAAGGAGATCCTGCAGAACCTATTTTTATGAGGACTGTATTGTAATTCTGTTGCACACATTAACATAAATGGCAGGCAGCCATCAGGGGAATGCAAAAGAATATTCCCCAAGGGATTTTTGTTTCCTTCTGTGTAAGGTTGCTCTTCATCAAGTTCAGCACACACACCATTGCTTTCAATAATAGATGCAATGAAGGCTTGATAATGGAAAACATTAGCCCAACTTACACGGTACGCCTCACTTCAAAAAGTATGGGGCAGGGGGCTTAGTTTCCTGAATTTCTTTCCCCGGGGAAATCCAGCCTGTTCAATTGTCACCCTGCTTCTTAAACACACTCACTATCCCAGGTTTTAAGAAGTGTGACCTAGGATGAATGTCATGTTTCTGCAACCTATAACCATACATCAAGGGTGAAGGACAGGGTTTCCCAAACTTGGGTCTCCAGCTGTTTTTGAACTACAATTCCCATCATCCCTGACCACTGGTCGTGCTAACTAGAGATGATGGGAGTTGTAGTCCAAAAACAGCTGGAGACCCAAGTTTGGGAAGCCCTGGTGAAGAACCTGCAGTCCTCCTGATGTTTTGGGACTTTAACTCCCATCAGTTCTAGTTAACACAGACAATAGTCAGGGATAATAGGAGATGTATTCCAGCAGCATCTGGAAGGCCAGGTGTTCCCTAGCCCTTCTATTGTAGAGGTACAGATTATTGTGAATTTGGATGAGGGAGGCTCCAGTTGAAACCTCTGCTCGGTTACGTCACTCACTCGGGGCAGCCATTTCCCCTCATTCTAACCTACCTGACAGGGTCATGGTGGGGGCAAATGGGATCATGTATGCTCAACAAAGTTCTTTGGAGAAAGGGTGGAATCCAGATACAGTGGTACCTCAGGTTACATACACTTCAGGTTACATCCGCTTCAGGTTACAGACTCTGCTAACCCAGAAATAGTGCTTCAGGTTAAGAACTTTGCTTCAGGATGAGAACAGAAATCGTGCTCTGGTGGCGCAGTGGCAGCTGGAGGCCCCATTAGCTAAAGTGGTGCTTCAGGTTAAGAACAGTTTCAGGTTAAAGACGGCCCTCCAGAACGAATTAAGTACTTAACCTGAGGTACCACTGTATAATAAATCTTTAATTATGGTGTCAGTTCAACATTGTGGAGAGGAAGGGGCTGCATACCTTGATCACTTTGATACTAATCAATGAAAGCTTTAAGTAGATTAAATAGCAAGAGCAAATTTTACTGTATTTTTTGCACCATAACACTAACTTTTTTCCTCCTAGAAAGTAAGGGGAAATGTCTGTGCGTGTTATGGAGGGAATGCCTACGGGTGGCGGGGGGGATCTGCTGCAGTCGTGAGCAGAAGATCCATGGTTCCCCTTCCTTCCCTCCTCCGTGGCTCGCTTTGAAACAGCAAAGCAGGAGAAGAGCCGCTGAGTGGGGAGGAGAGAGGGACAGAGAGCCTGCTTCTTTAAAGGAGCAAAGCGGGAGAGGAGAGGAGCCACTTACACGAGTGTAAGCGGCTCCTGTCCGGTTGGTTCCTTTAAAGCAAGCAGGCTCTCTGTCTCTCTCCTCCCCACTCAGCTCGCTACATAGCAGCAAAGTTTTCAGCTCGCTAAGCCGGGGATGAGCGGGGAGGAGGGAGAAAAGCAGAGCCTGCTTGCTTTAAAGGAGCAAAGTGGGAGAGGAGAGGAGCCTTCTCCCCTTATACCCCTCTTCTTCATTATTAGCAGCATCCTTCTCCATCCACCCCACGCGTGCTTCTTCTCCCCTTAAACCCCTATTCTGCATTATTAGTAGCATTCTTCTCCACCCACCCCATGCATACTCCTTGTCCCTTGAGTGCTTTTCCTTCCCTCCCCACTTAAAACGTGGTTACAAAGCATGGATCCACATGGATCCTCAGGATTTTTGCATTGGACTACTCCAAACTCACTGTCAGATCACATGTCTGTGGCCACAGCATGAACCACAAAACTCATACATCCACTGTTTCATTTAGAATATTTTTTTTCTTGTTTTCCTCCTCTAAAAACTATGCGTGTTATGGTTGGGTGCGTGTTATAGAGCGAAAAATACGGTAAGTGATGGAGACAAATTTTTAATTGGTAGTGATCTGATTGAAAGGTGCCCTCTTTTCTTGAGGGTGTTGTCTCCTCAAGCCATGATCCAGACACTGGCTAAAAGAAGGGCACTTTTCATATCCTTGACAATGACCCAGGATACTAGTCTGAACTATGTGAGTTCAGAGAGCTTATATATATGCCCATAAAGCATGGGAGGACCTCAGCCTCAGGAGCCAAATGTGGCCTTCCAGGGAGTCTGTCCAAGCTGCACCCCACACTGGCACTGTTTTCCCCCTGTCTTTGAGTGGTTTTTACTGGCTAGGAATTCCAGTAATGTTTCTTGTTTGCCTAGACAGAAGATAGAGACAGGTGTGTGAGTCAATTAACATTTGTTGTTCCACCCACTTTTGCTTTTGGCCCTGCCCATTACTGGTACTTGACCCCCAGAAGGCTGCCTAGAAGGGAGTAAGTCCCACAGACCACCCAAGTTGCCAGACCTCCTCCTAGCAGCCACTTTGCCAAGTTGCCCAAATCTGGCTTTCACCTTTTCTCCCTCCCATAGGACACAAACAGACCCATCAAGAAGCTACAAATGTCAAAGGAGAGAGTGCAGACCCTTTAAGACAGTGGTTCCCAATTAGAGGTCCGGGGACCCCTGGGGGTCTGCATAACACACCCAGGGGGTCTGTGGCACCACCCCCTGCCAGGGACTCACTTATCTTGTTAATTGCACAGTGAAAGCCACAATAATGATCCACGGATCACCCAGCCTCTGCTCACGACCAGGGCCTGCTTGCCGGCAGAGGAAAAACTTGTGAGAAAGTTAGAGGATGACAAGTGAGCTGTTATTGGGCACAAACCTCTAACACAGTTTCTTATGGCTCTTGCAATTGGAGTGGGAAGGGGAGGAAGAGAGAACAAACAGCTTGCTCCATGGGATGGATTCACATGCATATCATTAGAGGACTCTCCCACTGCTTGTAGGTAGGGTTTTCAGTGAATCTTGCCTGATAAGTTTGGGATTCATGCCTCATCTTTGAAGTCCAACAGGGCAAATAGCTGAGCAAATTGCCACTATGATTAGCACAACAGCTAATCTGATGATTTAGTTTAGTGATAGGGCTGGGCAATACTTTTTCAGCATCATGATATATAAAGCATCTGTATACTGGTATATGCCGATTTATAATAATCAGGAATGATCAGGCAGTTCTGTGGGAAACAAGCTGAGACATAATAGATGCACTTTCAATAGAAGTACAGTGGTACCTCGGGTTACAGACGCTTCAGGTTACAGACTTCGCTAACCCAGAAATAGTGCCTTGGGTTAAAAACTTTGCTTCAGGATGAGAACAGAAATTGCACGGCGGCAGCGGGAGGCCCCATTAGCTAAAGTGGTGCTTCAGGTTAAGAACAGTTTCAGGTTAAGAACGGACCTCCAGAACAAATTAAGTTCTTAACCCAAGGTACCACTGTATTCCTTTTTCAAAATGGGTTGGGGTTTGATTCTAATCTTAGTCATCAAAACATTGTTAAGCATCTCAATGCTCCTCAGGTGTTCTTTCCTGAAAGGCCCCTCCGAACTCACCTTGAAGATGTGCTTTAGATAGGAACATCCTGTAGGAATCTGCCTTAGAAGAAGAAGAGGAGTTTGGATTTGATGTCCCGCTTTATCACTACCCTAATGAGTCTCAAAGTGGCTAACAATCTCCTTTTCCCTTCCTCTCAAACAACAAACACTCTGTGAGGTGAGTGAGGCTGAGAGACTTCAGAGAAGTGTGACTGGACCAAGGTCAACCAGCAGCTGCATGTGGAGGAGCAGGGAATCGAACCCGGTTCACCAGATTATGAGTCCACTGCTCTTAACCACTACACCACACTGGCTCTCAGACCACTACTGGCAGTAGTTCGCCAGGATTTCAGACTTGGGACACTCCCAGGCTACTTGGAGATGCTGAGGAGTGAACATGGGAGCACTGACTTACATCCCAAATAAAGTTTGGTGACAACTCTAGTCCCAGGACTTAGCAAATGTCTCCCATTGCAAGAGGGGTTTCTTAAACAGTCCTCACAGGACATTCAGCTTAGTGAGAAGCAGGTGGAAGGCACCAAGCAGTCAAACCACCCACACTAATGTGTTCTGTGGGTCCCACATAAGTACGTGCAAGACCACCTATGTGGGGGGGGGGAGTGGTAGTTTCATCAAAACTAGTTCTACGTCTCTCAAGCACCTCCAAATTCAATTTGAAATGCATTCTGGACAAAATCCAGCAGCCATTTAAAACGCCAGCATTTCACAGCATAGAATGAGAAGTCTCCAGCGCCCAAAACAAAAGCATACACATTTCCTGTCCTCTCTAGTACCCAGCCAAAGCCACAGAGTGGTTGCATTGCAGCTTAGAAGAGCCACTGCGCCCTCTTGAAAGCAGTAGAAATGGCAATTAAATTAAACAACCCCAGAATCCATTTCTGAACGAGGGAAAAAGTGTCCGCACCGCCATTCATCTCCTTATGCAAAAGAGAGCAGGGAAAATGGCATTCAAGCACTATTTGATGTCAGCCTCTTTTTCA